CTTGGGATCTCGGGTTTTTATAATCTTTTTTCTTCCTGAAATTCCGAGGTTTTGGTTGGTCCGAATGCTGGTCCCCTGTGATTCTATTGGTCCCTGGTCTATTGCCAGGGACGCGATTTGGGCCACAGGGTCGCCGAATATCTCCGTCCGGGCTGTTCCCCTTCAGAGTCGGGTCAAGCCCCCTTCCCAGATGACAGACCTGTAAATTTTATCTAATGTCTGTTTTTCTGTCCCAGAGAGGAGGCAGCTGTCCCAGCCGCCGCTACCTCCACAGGAGTGTCAGCAGGTCCCGCTTTGAATTCTCTGTAAGGTGACTGTCCAAAGTTTCCCCGACAGACGATTCCTCACTCGTTCTCACGATTGACGATCGCGGATCTATCAATTAGATCTGGAATGCGCCAATTAAATCGTCACGCACCCCGTTCCTTGGTTTCACCGGTCCTATTTACGTAATAAGTCACTGATATATTAACTTTAGCTCGACAGCCGGTTTCTGTCTGGGGGTGTGTGGTCCCGGCCTCACAGTTTATTGTATCACAATTTTATTAAATTTGTCTGATTTGAAAGCTATTTTTCATACAAATATACAAGTAATTATTCTTTATAATGTATTTTATCTACAAGTCTCTCTAAGTCAAATGATATAAATACATCCTAATTTCAGAAAGTTATAAGAAAAAAAATATACTATATCTATAATTTTATTATGGACTATACTATAATAATTGTAAAGAACAGTACCTGATGAGTATGTAAACATTTATATCAAAATAAATATAAAAATTTAAACTTAAATATAAAATGATTTCCTCTATATAATTAATATTTCCTTTTTTTTTCATAACTTATTTTTAATGCATAAAATATTTGCAAATATATTATGGATTAAAAGTAAGTTATTTTGTTTTCAGTGTAATTGTTCATAATATAAAATTAGCAGCATATATTATTAAAATTACTCCAATGAAAACTATAAATTTAAAATAAAATGTTTTCTTTGCTATTAAATCATATGGGAAGCAAATAATAAAATATTTTTGAGCCTTTTTCATTTCTGTAGTAATGCATAAAATTAAATTCCATCACATCCAAATATAAATAAAATATTTCAATCATCATCATCTTGCAAACATTTGCTATAAAATCACAACAAATTCAGTTATGCAGTATATTATACCAAATAAATACATATGTATATATTTTTTCCCCCAATACTAATCCACAATCAATAAAAGAAATATGAGAGGTATTCAGAAAGTAAGGTGATTGACCACAAAAGACAAAACATTTCAGATGTTTACTTTAGTGTCAAAAATTTATACAGGTAAATTATTTTTATTTTGAACATAACATCTCCAAGATTAAAGAATTTTCCATATCATAGAACAAATTTTTTTAATCACCTCATTGAAGAAGTCTATTGCTAAATTATTAACTAATTTTGTGCACAGTTTCATTTTTTACCTTCCTTGCTTGTTTCAATCATTTACTGTCAAATTAACCTGCTAAAAATGTCCTCAACTGCAAAAACAGGATGAAATTAGGTGATGTAAGATCAAGCTATAGGAGGTGAGTAATGAAATATATCCCACCAGAATTGTTCATCAGTAGACTCATTTGAGCAATGTGTAGTCCTGCATTGTTATGTAGTAGTAACACAACACAAGAGCTCTTTAGGACTTTTCATTTGTTTTGAATCCATCATAATTTTTTCAATGTCTCAATTTCCATCTGCATTTACTGTTGCTTTATGGTTAAGGAATACAATCAGAAAACACAAACTATCTCACAACAAGAAGGGATTTTGATCTTGCTCATCATCTGACACAATTACAAATGTCAGATAAATGCAAAAATTCTGCTAATATAGGCATTTCCTACCTGAGACATCAATATGCTGAAAATTCTTAATACAATCCATCTTCATAGATTGTATATATAATCAAAATTTACTTTCCAAATACCTTTTATGTTCAACGTTACACCTTTTATGTTAAATACAAAATGCTTCAGCCTTTTATTGTTTTGACCATCAACTAATTAAATATAAAAATATGTGTTTTTAGCAGAATCATAAAAACAGTTTCTTAAATTGACACAGTCTCTTAAAATTTTCTTCACTTGGTATTTCTAAATATTAACAAATTTTCTGTTATTTTCAAATCTTCTAATTAGGAGAAAAACAATTTGACTAGCAAAATTTTAAAAACTAAAACCTTAATGTCAATGACACAGTATTCAAATATTATTCATTTAAATAACACTAGTTACCTGAAAAACATTTTGTAAAGTGTTTTAACTATCCCAGTAGTGTTAAGGTTTTGTTTGTATTTAATTGAAAATAGAAGCTGGGTTATAATGGATTAATATTCATTTATCCAAATGATTCATTTAGCTTATTCATCATAATGATTCTGCATACATACTGTATATAACAGTAAAAATAAAAGTTTATTCTAAATGTTAAAAGTTGAATTTTAAGGCAAAATAGTTTTTGACTATACAGTAGACCCCCCTATAACGCTTAGATACGTTCCACGTTAACTGAAAATCACGTTGTAGGAACGATTAAATACATGAGCCAATCGCAGCCCGATAGGTGGGAACTTTACGGACTAAGGCTGTTCGAAAGGTTTTCTTCTATAAAATTAACCGATTCTAGACTAATTCGACTCAACATTTCCAAAACACGTATAATTTTTTGGGAGTAATCCGTATAAACTATGCTATAAACAAAAAATTATAGGATTACTTACCGAGTGTGTACCGTTCGACTACGCCCGTTGTTCAAAGCTTGTCTTCGTCGCGGAACAGCACACGAAACGGCGGCCGCGATATCTGATAAATAATTTATCGCAGAAAGATAACTTGACCTTTGGAGACATCATTAATATAAATAATTTTTATGGCCGTTGAATAAGAAGTGTTTCTTTCACAAGAAATGTATAAAATTAGTGCTGTATTAGACTTACGGTACCTAATTTACATACTGTGCAGACGATAATAAACTCAACTTACTAGCCTAAAATCTCCGTAGCGTGTTGCCAGGCGGCAGAAAGCATATATATAATTATAATAAAGTTACAATAAATTAAGTTAATATATAATTATATATACAGTACCTAATTTATATATAATTAATATATAATTATATGTACAGTACCTAATTTATATATAATTTATATATAATACTAAACAGACGATAGCAAACTCAATTTAGCCGCTCCGTAGCGTGGCGCAGGGTCGGAGGTAAGTAGTTCGGCTACTCATCCACTATTGGTCTAGACTCTATCAATCTTCTCACGAAATGACATTATAGGAGGTACGTTATACGAAAGTTTCTACAATTTTTTCGCTACGTTATAGGAATTGTCATTATAGGAACGTACGTTATAGGGGGGGGTCGACTGTATATATTTTTCCTTCAAGAAGAATATTTGAAAATGTTTGAGGTTTTTTGGGACTATCAGATAATAGAAAACAATTTTTATGAGCTAAAAATAAAACAACAAAAAAAAACAAATCTGTATAAATTGTTTTGTAATATTGATGGAACTTCACAGAGAAAGAAAGATTCATGTAGGGGCCAATATTTAGGATATATAATGTAAGTCCTACTATATAAGATCAAAAATATGTTAGAATAATTCTTATGGGCAGCCCTAACAATATACAATGTATGTATATTTCAGAGTATTTGATGTTATAGCATCTAGATAAAATGAAATAAGAATATTTGGCATTTTATATGGTGGGATTAATAATAAAACAATATAACACAGACGGCATTTAATAAATCAACATACATATCAGCAATAAACAATGACTTATCTGAAGTGTCAGCTACAGATGAGTGATTGTTTAGGAAAACCTCAATGTGTGATTAATGGATCACACTGAGTTGAGTATGCTGAGAGATAATGAAATAATTATAAGTACAGGTAACCCCCATATAACACAGCACGGATTCACCCTAACATGGTTCGAGAATTGGAACCATCCTCGTATAGCACGGGTTCACTCTAACATGGTTCGGGAATTGGGTAAAACCCTCGTACAACATGAAATGTAATAAAGGGTGCATTTTTTTATACCTCCATGTAACTCCGTGCAAGCATTCTAATTGTTTTCGTGGCTATTTTGAATGATCTTTCAACAAATAATCAATTTAATGGTTAAATTTTACATTTGGGACATTTCTTTTGCCTCTAAAAGGAATTATAGATTCCTCATTTTAGAATTATAGATTCCTCCATCATGATACTATCGAAAGTGCGGGCGCCGCCATCTTTCTTTCACTGTCGTTCCTAAATGCCTTCAAACAACAGCACACTCCCATTTCAGAGTGACCGCTATTAACGAACGCACCCAAAAACTGTTACCAGTTGATGATGCTCATGCTGAAATCATCATATAGGATGAATAATCCTATGGTAAAATATTTACTTAAATAATAAATAAGTAAGTATTTTACCTATGAAAAAAATGAATAATAAATGCGATTTAAATAAGGATTTAACAGCATGTTTTTTAATTTTTGGAACCTAACCCCCCCCTTTCTGCACTAGTTCTTTATTTCATATAACACGGATTCACATAACACGATAATTTTTTGGAACGTAACTCCCGTGTTATATGGGGGTTACCTGTATTTGATTTTGATCTTTATTTCCAGATTTAAATGATTATATCATCAATCTCTTATTTCTTGAATACATCTAATTCGAAACAATTCAAATTTTATAATTTTATGTACAGTAATTCAATTCAAAACATCAGTTAATCTAAAACCAAAATATAAAATTCTCGTATTTAATGAATTTTACCACACAAGTTTTATTACATCTTAAAATATTATGTAAAAAAATGATTTGCCAAAAAATAATATTAATTCTTGATAATAATGATAGTTATCAACTTTTTGTCTAGAAATATATTGTCTCCTATGAGTATAAAATATTAGCCCCAATATTATAAAAGAAACATAAATGCTTAAATACCTGCAGTGTGATATCACATTCTTCTCGACCTATAAAGCTCATTCCAAATGGTAAATGATAAATTTCTCCATCTTTCCTTACAAGTTGCCAATCTTCCATTTTGGTTATACATTGATCCATTCTATCTCCTTATAAATTACAATTATAATATTAAACTTATCATTTTTGATAACAACTAAATTTAATTATTTAATAAATTTTTGATTTATAATAATAATTATCAAGTATTTTACAATAAATTATTTAAGTTTTAAAGGATAAAAATATTTTATCATATAATTATAAACATTTTTTCATATTTTTTGAATTTTTAATAATATTAATGGTAAAAGTTTAAAGAATTATGTGAATTGCAACTGTACTCTCTTTAAAATAAGGAAACAAAGGTAACGTAAACAAACTACTTCACTTAAAACCATTTTTATCAATGTATAAACAATTTATATTCATCATTGTTTTATTTATGCTTTCTTTACATAAAAATAATCTTACAAATTTGATTTTATTAAAAAAAGATCAAATATTTATTTTCTAAATTTGTCTTAATCAAGCTTTTTACTTAGGTAAACAGATTGTTATTTATTTGAAATACGTCACAGATAAAAAATTATACTACACTTTATTATATTCAACTCCTATTGCAAAACTTTTTATCATTTGCCTATTTGATAGCAACTTTACTACCGAATTTTTGAATGACATGAGACAAATAAATTCATAGTTCTTATAATACGTAGAATATTAAAATCTCCAAACTCATTAAAAGATAACTGTTATTAAAATAGTATCATTGTAAAAAATTTGAATGTAATAATAAAAGATAGAATGTCATATTTTCAATAATATTCGTTACATAATTTCATTTCCGATTAGAGCATTAGCATTATTAACTTTTTCATAGGAATTCAATTAATAAAACATGAAATAAATCTATATTTTATTTTTTATTTTATTATTTGTTGCAAAGAATTTCACCTTATTTTACTCGAACTCAATTAATACACTGTTTAATTATTATGACGTTAATACAACTGCTGGTAGAAAATAGGTTAAATCTTATAATAATCATCATCATTTATATATTGATTAAGTTCGGATAATTTCTCTTAATATAAAATGGAGTTAGTTGGAGATCACGTTTCAATGAAGTAGGAGAAAAATAATCAATTTCTCATGAAATTTACAAATTTAAGAGAGAAGAAGCAATCACATTTTTAAACAGGGAAAAGACATTTAATTAAGTAATCAAAGCAACACTTATGTCATTTTAGGCTTAACAAAACATTCATCTAACTATAGTTACAGTTAATTTTATTTATTTTTTATTTTTTAAAAAGATAATTTATACTCACTGAGATACGTGAAGATAATGGTTGTTATAATACTTTTAATATAATTTTACCTATTTTGAAACATCGAAATTATTTACATTTTTCAACTGTGCAGTAGCCTCGGCCTAAACTCCATTATATTCTCTAACTCAGATCAAAAAAACACCCATATACACCCAGCACCCAAATATCCGAGCATCTTCGCACGTGACCATTACCAGCCGTAACTTAAAAAAAAAAAAAAAAACAGCTTCGGATTTTACTAAAGATTAATTGTTTTTATATAATGTACGTTATATTATTATAATATATTACACAAAGTAATGTATATTTAGCTCAAAAATTAATAGTTTTTATTGACATTAGAATGGCGATCTAAATTACATGTTATAAAATTGTTATACTCTATGTGTATATTTTAAAGTTGTTAAAGGGAAGATCAGCTGAAACTTCTTGTTTTAACATATGTTTCATTGTTTTCAGCTTGTTTTAAGAAAATTTTAATGTTTTTTTTTTATAATTGACGCTTTTTTCAGCGGGGCAATTTAAATATAATATTAAATATAACGTTAATCTACTTATTTTTTTGTAATATTTTTCTATATTTAAAAATTTTAATATAGTCAATAGACTGTTAGAAATTTCACTTAAAGCATTTCTATGTGAGAAACGAAGCGAATTAGGATTGTGATTGATTAATTTTTTCGTGAATTTTACAGATATCGAGCATGGACTTCGAGGAATGTGAATATTATCCCATGTCAAGATAAATATTTCTCTGGAATCAACAGAAGCAGACAGCATTTCCATTGGTTTTTTAAAATCCTCCCTGCTGTTAAATCTGTTAAATCTTAAAGTCTGCGATGCTTGGAAACAGATTGAGAATGTTTTTTTTGGATTTTCTTAATGAATTGCAGGGAGTTAATTACTTGTCACAATATTCTAGATAAGATACAAGACAAAATAGAGTAGAAACTAAAAATATCTGACATATTTGAATTAAAACTTTAAAGTTAAAAAGAATGCTTAAAAGAATTAGTCTAAAAGTAATGATCTATGTAAGATTTCCGCGTATCTTACTGATTTGTGTCTGAGGAAGGAAATAGATACAAGTATTTAATATATTAAACATTTATTCGTTATATATTATACCCGGGATGGCCAAGCTCCTTGATAGTCCGAGCCATTTTTCAAAATTTGAAATTTTTCGCGAGCCGCAATTAAATACGTATTAAAAAGGTATGCAAAAAAATTCCAGATTACAAATTATATCCGTAGCAAGAGTGATACAAATTGTTTCCTCCAGAGCACAATGTCAACTGTCCATTGCAATGACAGTTTACAAATTCAAAATTGGTCTGGAGTCGGTCGATAACGGACGATTACGCCACTGTTTATGTTCGTTCGCGCAGTTTTCGATGAGTCATATCATTCTTAACTTGGACGGAAATGAAATTTGTTACAACGTTGCACTTAGTCTTTCATATTTGTTGTTAGTAATTTAAAAGACATTTTGAAACACATACGGAACGATAATAGTTTTTTAAAATATAATAACACAAAAATGAAAAGGGAACTCGGGTACATTTATCAAGAGCCACAAATAATCCTTCAAAGAGCCGCATGTGGCTCGCGAGCCGCAGGTTGGCCACCCCTGTATTATACAGTATGTACTGTACAGAACAGAACCAAAAAGAGTAGGGTGCCGCCATTGGCATAGCCAGGGAGTTTTGTTATGGGGAGCCTAGTAGAGGCCAACCTGACACAAAATTGAATTATTTCAAATTATTGTTCATTAAAATGAAATTTCCATATGAATCGACAATAACTTAACACACAAAATATGAAACTTCCTTTAATCATACGTTCTCGTAACATTAATATCAAACTCTAGCAATGCCTTAAACAAAAATTAACCAATCAATTATTTTTTTTACCATTGTTTAATATAGTTCACCGTCTTTAATCTAGATCTAGACCAGGGATGGCCAACAGTTTTTCCCCCGGGACGAATTGGAAAGAAAACTTTTTTTACTGCCCAAACTAGAGGTGGCCCTAGCAAGATTTTCAGGTGATGCGAGATCTTATTGTGGCGTCACCCTGCAGAGAGACTAAATTGTATACAGAGATTACAGATGCACTTTTCACATTGGTCGCAGAGAACATTCATTTTTTTTCTTTTTTTTTAGGGATCAGAATTTCTCAACCTTTATATAACTTCAAATTATAAAGATATAAGGAGTTATCACGGATCCATTCCAGCTGTTATTTGAAGTTAATGTTGGCTACGCTTGATCTACAGTTTCAGTGGGTACACTACACCCAATTAAATTAGCTTCATCTTTTTATTACTTTTTGCAAATCGGCTCAACACTTTTCGGCTGTAATTTTCTGGGGAGGGCACTAGATTAACTGGGGGGGCAGGCGTGCCCACCCATGCCCCTTCCTGGCTACGCCCATGGGTGCCGCTGTTTCTGAGCTTATATATCGGGTAGCTAAGTCCTCGGGCGCTGCGCTTGACGAGCCCTTTATAAGCCGTGGTGGGACGAAACATGATAATCTAAAAATGTATTAGACTGTTAATTGAATACTATACGTGATTCTAATTGAAAGTCAGCGGCCTGATATCTGCTCACAACTTTACTTAGTTCTTCACGTATGTTTACTACGCTTTGCACTCAAGTACAGTATACGGCCAGCTATTGTTCACCCTACTTTAAACCCTTGTCCTCCCGCGACGTCTATGAGAATGCCCCGGGAAATCCAACTCCAGCTGTGTTCAAGGTCATCCAGATGTGTAAATAATGACTCATTGGTGTTAAATTTCACAGAAGGGCGAGACAAAGGAAGTTAAACTTTGAAGCTTTTTCTTCAAAATTAACGCATTTCTTTGGTTTTTTTTTCAGTTTTAAGTATTTTTTTATGTTTAATTACATTTACATCAAAAATTGCTAGGAAGTAAAGCGATTAAGGTAGATCTAGCTGTCCTTTACATCCATAAACGTTATATGTCAGTTGAACAAATGGAGTGAGCTTTGAGCGTCCCACGATTTTTGGAGACTGTCTATACACGGGCTTCCTAAACAAGCCTATATGTATGTTTGTCCAAGAAATTTTTGCATGAAATACAAACCGCACAACTTCAAAATCGCATAAAAATAATCCGCATAAAAAGAGACCTTACAGTACATAAATATACAAAATATTAGTAGTCTAGTCCGTTTACCTACAATATATGCGCAATTTGATTCTGAAACGGAGTTTGGCCTATATTCTAGATCAGCGGTCGGCAACCTTTCTCACCTCACGGACCACCAAAGTCACAATTTTGAAACCCGCGGACCATTATCGTGAATTTTTTTAAACGATACAAAATCTGTAGAATAATGATCATAAAAGTTCAATTTTACTATATTAATATGAAACTCACATATTTAATTAATTATAACAAATTCAAGTCTAAAGTTCATTGATGCTTGTTTGAAATAAGTTTATGGAATCTTCGCGCTTTTACACAAAGGACGACAATCGCACTCACAATATTGTTTATTGTTCATTATTTATTGATAACAGTCACTTCGTTTTTGGTTTTAGATTCGAATAAAATACCTCAATGAGTGAAAAAAACAACTAAGCATTTTGCATTTCTTTCGTAATACTTCGCGTAACCTTCGGTTGATCAATGTTCAAATTTCTCCACGGACTACCGGTTGCCGACCGTTGTTCTAGATGACCCCAGAGAATTTGATTTTGATATGTGACTTGGATTTACAAGAGTTTTCAAATTGGCTTTTTCGTACCAAAGATCGGAAAATCTCATACATCTACTGCAGTTTGAGTCAAAATTTCGTATACGATATTTGTTTATAAAAAATTAAGTTTTCATAATTTAATCAGAAATTTAAAACTTGCATTGAATTTCTCATATGAGTACGAGTATTCTCTTATATCTGGAAAAGTTGAACCTAAAAAAAATGTTAATGTCAGAGAGTGGACTATTTTTAACAACCGGCCTACAAGCATCCTTGAATATTTTAATATTGGACAAATCCATATTTGTGATATCAATGTGTTAAAGGCATTATGTTATCTCAAAAAGACGGATAATTTCTTTCTCAGGTTGACACGAGCTGACAACTGCTTCCAAAGGCGGATTCAGTTCGAAAAACGGAAGGTTGGCAAATATGCTGATTTGTAACATTTGTGATGAAATTATTTTTCAATGATATAGCTTTGTGTTATGATGTAATAATTATTTTTTTTTTGCTACCATTCTACGTGAGGAATTTGATTACTATTGAACGCCAGCTTTAAAGTGCGTCGATTTTTTTCTTGCAACAGAATATATTTGCAATGATTTTTATCCTATTGTTTCGACTACAGTACATGACTTCATCTTAAAAGTTTAACTTTCCAATAGTTTACGCTTTCAGTATAATACACTTATTAAAAGACTAAGTGTTTATGTAAAGACTAGCAAATGAGCCCGGCGTTGCTCGGGCAAACGACTTGGATGATTTGGTAAATATTTTACGTTTGTAAATTAAGTTATTACTATCAAAAACAAAAAATCGCATCTAAAATAGTATAGTAGAAGCCGTTTCTCAGTTTAAGGCTTAATTCTCTCCCTTTTCCCCGCAAAGGGGAATTTCGAAAAATCTCTTCTTAGTGTGCATTTTCAGATGTATCAAATTCCACCTCTTTAGGCTTTGGGCGATGATGAATCAGTCAGTCAGTCAGGACATGTAATTATATATATATATATATATATAATATATAGATTAAACATCTTTGCACAAAAGAAAAAATTGATCGAAAATGGAAACTTTTGTTGTCCATGATTGGTTGTTCAAACAAGGCAGTGCGATATCGCCTTAAACAAACCAAAAAGACGGTCCAAAATCGAAATTTTTAGTGAAAAACAAAAAGAAGTTTCAATTAGAGAACGTGAATTGCTTGGTACACGTGTTATGTATGGGCTGTCTATAAACGATGTCACGCATCATGTGGG